TGGTCATGGCTGTCTGGCAGCAAACACATTAGGACACACTGCAGCATTTTTTGCAGATCCTATTTGCACTTCTAATATCCCCCCCACACCTTATTTTTCCTATTTCTTTTTCTTGCAGTTCTCACTCATATTAATTTTGGAAATTGTTAGCTGGTTAACTGGAGGCACTTTTTAGTTGACAATCAGCCCTTTCATAGGTCAACTTAGTGTGTATCCGTGGCTGAATGTACTGCTAGAACTTTGTGTGCACAAGCCCCTCCTCACCAGTCCTGTTTTTTTCCTGCAGGACATCCATCCTCCAAGCTATCAAATCACCTGATCTGAGTTTGACAGACACATATGGCGCTTCCTCCAGGTTCGTTTTTAATTCCAGGAGCCTGCGGTGATTGGCACTTCCAAATAAACACTATTAATAAATCATTAATCTGTAACTAAAAGCCCAGGTCTTTGGAGGAGTGCTTGCCAATTGCCTACCACAGAAAGTCTCACAGGAATATTTGTCATTCTCACAATTACAATGGAGCAGAAGCCATTTGAGACAGCTTGAGCCGAAATCACAAGGAAAGCAAAATTATAGAGCCCCGGAGCAAGTAAGGGTTGGAAATTAGTGATAGCTGGCATTTGTTTATTTTCACTAAAATGCCAAACAATAAAGCATTTCTGTTCCTTGATGATTGCCTGATGAAAGGCAACAATAGAAACATTGTAAATGCTAATTTTCAGGGTGATGGGAGAGAAGAAGGATGAGATGAAAACCAAAAGGAGAGGGGATTTCTTGCATGTTTACCTCCTGCCTCTGCCTCCAAGAGTCACATTAAGCCTGAAATGTCATTCCTCTAATTATTACAGAATAAAGTCAAAAGCAGTTTTGGTATAGCTAGTCCCTGATTGTGTACTGATGGCTGGGAAAGCGAGATAAGGACTTCATGTGCTAAAATATCTGTCTTTTTCACTATTGGTTTGACTTACTAGATAACTCTATGCTGCTTAATAGCAGAGGCTGTGAACTTAAGCTTGAGAAAATAATGGCTTCCCTGTCAACCTTTTTCTCCTTCTGTGACAGGTGTGACAAAAGTCAGGACAAAGATATCCTTAGTCTTGTTCAAGAAATGTCAGCGCTTTCTCCTCCTTGCTTGTGAGTCAGCCTTAACTTGGTGACACTTGGGTTTCTCTTCCAGAAGCTGCGTTTGATTAATCAAGAGGGTTGCTAACTTTTTTGGTTTTTACTGTACCTTTAACAGCAACTGGTTCTGCTGACATCTGCAGATAAAAATGTGTATTGGTAGCTCAGGGCATGGAAAACCTCAGTTGCTCTTAATCAGAAAAGTGCATGCCAGGAGATCCTATCTTGCTCCATAGAGACCCATGGAATGAAACGGATTCAGATGGAAAACTCTTTCTCCTGTATATTTATACATTTGGTACAAATTTAATGTAAACAAACACATTTCTATAGCACTTCGTTAGAAATTATCACTTAGAAATTGCTTGGAGGCTTTCTAAATGAGGCATTTATTGTGCACTTCTCATTCCTTACTCAGAGTTGTTTTTGAGTTATTTTGACAACAAAATGGCTCTTATTTTCAAATCTGTTTTAAAGCAGCATTTTCAGACTTTTTTTTTAAAAGAGTGGTTTGTTGTTGTGTGCTGTCAAGTTGTCTCAGACTTATTGTGACCTCAGGAATGAAAGCCCTCCAAAACGTTCTATGCATGACAGGCCTGCTCAGACTGATTCTGCAGTCACAAATCGAACACTTCTCCCCGGTGTACTTGCACTATTCTGCTGTACTTCACCGCCACCTAGAGGGTACGTAGTAGAAAATCAGGAAACAATCTTTCAAGCTGTGGATCTCAATGCCAGCTATGAGGACACCAGGAGCTCCACCACCAGCATCACAATCACTGCTACAGTGGCATTACCGGGTTTTCCTTTGCTTCTCCCCAGAGTTCTTCTAAGTTCTTCTCATCTTAGACTACATAGATGATCTTTTTTCACTGTATGTGACATTGTCCAAGAGTAAGATATCCCACTTTTATGTTTCGGTCCTTAATGTTTAGCCTAAACTTTGGAGATTACTGTAAGGCATATGCAAGCTAGTTTGGATTTAATGTAAGCTATATTTTGTATTTTCTGCTTTCAAAATGTAGATAGTTACACCCATCTCATGCCCATGGAATGTGATGAGATATAAATCTGGAAAGGTTCATGCTTTCATAATCAATACAAGACATTTAATTTGCTTCTCCCTTATTGTTTTATCAATTTCTGCATTCAGTAAACTGAATTAATTATTGATTCATATGGAATCCTATGCATGTTTAGAAAGAAAGAAAAAAAGACAGACAGACAGAAGACCTAAAACTCTGTGCTGTCGGAGCAAGCTGGAAGCTACAGCCCCCCCTCCCTTTCCCATTTAAACATGCATAGGATCGTATCCTTAGAGTGTCCTCCCAATACCAACTGAGAGGCCATAGAATTCTTCAGAATCAGAGTTCCAAAGTCCTAGGTTCTCAGAGGCAGAACTTCAAAGGCTGAGTCTCCACCTTGGCCCTGCACGGTTAGCAGAGAAAGAACCATACTGGCTGACCCTTTGAGGTCACCACTGGCCCTGGGTAGGGAAAAAGAGGCAGGACAGGGGGCAGAGAGAGAAGGAGTCTGGGGTCATAGAGTTATACCAATTCCAAGCAGTGCACAAGCCTCTTCAACTTCCCCTTCTCCGCTTGTAAGCATCTGAGCTTATGAGCATCTGCTCAGGAAAAATCAGCCTGTGGTCTTAGGCTGCTAATTCATCAACCACTCCAAATAACACTTATTGGTAATGGATTGATAGTTTGCATCAGACTTGTAAGGAGTCCTGCCCAGAATCTGGATGCTGGACAAGGCAGGGTTTCCATCTGATCAGCTTGGGGTCATCTCATGCTATTTTGTAAGATGGAAAGGCCTGCATTTGTTTGTTTGTTTGTTTACATCCTCCCTTTTTCCTACAAAGGGCTCAAGGCAGCTTACATAATCTCTCCTCCTCCATCTCATCCCCACAACAACAACCCTGTGAGGTAGGTTGGGCTGAGAGTCTGTGACTCTCTGATCCTCTGAGTCCCAGTCCCATGCTCTTAACCACTACACCACACTGCTTTTGCTCTGCATCTCCAAACAGGATGAATCAGAAATGTGTTCCCTTTTGCTTTTTTTAATCAGAATTGACTCAGTTTTCACCTTGCAGAGTGAACACGACTTGGACACGATCTGTGGTTGACATCTGTACATTTCCAAGCTTTCAGTGTAATTCATGGACCAAAAACCCTGCATTTGACAGCATGCATTCTTTTGAAAAGTTTGCACTTTTCAAAAAGTGCATATATCAAAGATGTACACACTTTCCACTTTCATCAATGGAAGGAAAATGCACACATTGCAAAGATACACAAAACTGATGTGTATGTTTCAAAAATATGCAGTACTACACAAGTCTTTAATAAGCCTCCAATATGGTAGAATTTTGCATCTGAACTAACCTTGGGATAGAAGCAAGCTCAGGCTTTACTGATTAACCCTCCAACTTCCTTCCCCAAACTTCAGGTAAGTAAATGAAAAGCAGGTAAGCACCAAATGTGGAGAGGAACAGTGAGAATCTCCTGATGCACAAAAATGTACTTTATTGAATCCAAAGCTTAATCCAAAGCTGAAATGTTGTTCAAAACAACATTTTGCAGCAGAGTTTGGAGACCAAAGGTTGCTGTTGGGTTGAACTTCAGAATGACCCTGAAGTAAAATGCATCTCAGATTGAAAATGTGTTATGTTCTATAATACATGTGTTAAGTGGAACAAGCACCCACTCAAGTTATGTCTTATTACAAATGTTGAGATTTGCTAGCATCAGATCCTACACATTCCTGTCTCAACAAAGCAGCTCAAAACATTGAGTCCCATCACTTGGGCACTTTGTACTGGATCCAGACTTAGTCATACCCAGCACAAGGTAACAGAAATAAATAGGTCACTTAAATTAGACCTGTTTAATATCAGCTTCTGTCAGGAGCAGGTATCCCTCCTCTGCTTTTTTCTCCTCTCCAGCAAGCTAAGACAAAACTAGCAGTATAGTCCTCTTTTAAAGCTTACAGACAGCATAAAACAAAGTGCTGTTCTCTTTCAGATGTGAGAGTAGCATCTGCCCATGTGAGCAGCTGGATCCAAACAGAAACTCTGCCTCCTTCACTCCCTTTCAGAAAGGTCCTGACTCCACCCAGGACTAGTTCTTTCTGCTTGAAGTCTAGATGATGGGAATACTGGACACTTCTTAACGGGTCCACTCACTTCACCTGGTGTTTCTTGCAGGATCAAGGCACTCCCCTGCAAGCTCCATCCTACCCTTTATGAAATGTCTTCCTCCTTTTCCAAGGCAGGGTATTTATCACACTCTTTCTGCATATCTTCATCCTGTAACTGTGAAGCCACCTGCCCCCTCTGCCCCCTTGAATCTGAAGAATCCCTTCTGAAGAGAGAAACTCAGGAGAGCTGGGCTCCCTCTTTACAGCTCCACTGCTTTCACTGGGCAGTATCTAGTGCGGCATGAGCACCAATAAGACTGAGGCTCGGTTGGCAGGAGGGCACTCTAGCACAGTGCTAGTCGAGTTTGTTAGCACAATCATTTTTCTTGTGAATCCTGTCGTGCCAGCTGAAGTGTTTTGAATTGCACTGGAGGTCCCTTATGCTAGCAGTATGTTATTTATGTCAGGGCACATGCTGGATTGGACACTGCCCAATGGGTCTACCTTAACTATGACTAAGTGTGTGGCCAAACCTTTGCTTGACAAAGTACAGCATTCGTAATGGCTTGCCATCAATTTTCACAATTAGTGCTTTATTCAGGTTTAGCATAAGGATCAGTGGAGGGATGCTTTTGCTGCAAAAGTGAAACACTGCTCCATAATAGAGCCCAGGATGAAATATGTTATATTGTAATAACCAATTGTGCCTAATTATGGAAGAATATGTACTTACTTGCCAAGTGCAAAACACTCCATCTTAACAGTAGATCCCTTTGCAGCTGTAACTGTGTATGGAAAATGGACTTCAATTTTCGGCTCATATTCCCCCATCACACCTGGGAAATAAAGAATGGTCTTTAAAAATAAAATGGATGTCACTGTTGGTTCCCATCTGTAGAAAGCGTATTTTCACAGCCACTGTGGCAAGGGTGTTAAACAGCTAGATAGTTGGCCAAGAAGTTCATTATATAAGGAAATGGTTACAACTCAGCAAAACAACAGAGTCTCAGATCAACAACTGGTGGCTCGCCATGGTTCCATGACTGTCTGTCTTCATATGTGCTCATAAATCACAACAGACTTGCTGAAGACTAGAGTTGTTACAAGCTGAGAGGCTGGCGAGAATAGGCTGTTGTTTGGAAATAAATGCATGGTTCAACTAATGAAACTTCCTTCAAAGCATGATTTGGGCGGCATACCTAGAACACTGTGCATATATTTAGTGCTACTGCTAGGCTTAGGCATGAGCTGTGATGGCCACATAAAATGGTAACACTGATCAATAAAATCGGAGAGGAAGTTCTTGTCCTTATCTGTTATCCTTCATCTCCTCTTCACAGCATTCATCTGGCTCTGTGCTATTAAACAGTTGACTTGTTTTATCTCCTTGAACTGTCTGCCTTTCAGAAGTAAATTAAAGGATACCTAGCCTGGATGTAAGTCTAAGATCTAACTCTCTCATTTTGTTCTTATAAATATTGGGACTAGGAAACTTCCTATGGGCCGCCCATGGACATTTGGTTGATCGCTGGGGGTGTTTAAATAGATAGACCTTTGGTCTGATTTAGTGGGTCTTTTGAGTTCTTATGTGTCCCACACTTCCATCAAATGCACCATCTTTGACAACCATGGAGATCCACATGCAAACATAATGTTTGAATAGAGATTATGCACATAAAATCTGATGTGCAGACCCCAATCTTACTTATGGATGGTAAGTGGGTTGTTGATGATGCTGTTGTCCAGGTATGCCTAGGTCACAGAGGCTTCCCAGAAGCTTCACATGGGGGGGGGGGATGACTGTCATGCCCCCCTTCCCCCAGAATACTTAGCAATAAGGCAAGATGGGGAATTGCATCTTCCAGGCTGAGTCCTTGTCCCTCTGCTTTGTGCCCCTTCGAATGCATTGAAGCTCTCAGATACACTTCACCTGACTCCTTCAGACACATTTGAATGCCTGAAAAATCCTTGCATCTGGTAATCTCCATGCATTCTAAGGGACACAAAGCAGACAGACAAGGGCCCAGGCTGGAAAATTGCATTGTGCCTTATGAAAAGGATCAGTCTAATGCGCTGTATGCTTAGAGCCCAATAGAGGTTCATTTATCTAGTGTCTTGAATCCTACTTCAAGACCCCACCATGTCTAATTATGGCACTTGCTGCGCGAGCATGCAGATCAAAGAGCCAATTCCATTTAGGATAAGTGTTTAGGGACCACATGGTGGGTCCTGCTGAAGGTGGACAGTGATGAGCCCAGAATAACAAGTAATTTCAATTAAAGCTCTTTGAGCCAGTAACCAAGTCTTAGGAGAAACATTATGGGAACAGTGGCAGAGGGATTTAAAAAGCTGGACAAGCACCCAGTGAAGGGTAGCTAAAGGAAGGAGAGTGGGGCCAGGGACATGGCTGGCTCAGGACAGCAACTAGGCCAAATCTGGTCCCTGGGACTGAGGTTTTGCATTCCTGCCTTAGCTATTCCACTGAATAGCTATATTTAGCTACCACCATGTTTAGCTTACATGGTATGGAAAAAATTCAGGAAACTTGGGGGAATTTAGAGAGAATTTCATGCACATGCAAATGACGGAGCTTCATGATCAAATCCTGAAGCACCACATGTAATATTTATTGCCCATTTGTAACATGGTGTGGTATCTGTATTTTATCAAACTAGTATTTCAATGCTGAATCCTGCTAGCCTGTTTTTCAGGAACAAACATGTCCTCTGGCGATCCCTAAAAAGCATCCTGCTCTGCAGTATGCTAGACTGGTAAAACCTCCACTGGTTCTACTGGAGACCCTGGAAAGAAATATTGCAGTCACATCATTCCTATCCCACTGGCTGGAGAGTGTTCTTCAAACTACCCTAGCTCAAAAGAATTTTAATACTGTGACAGAGGAGAAGAAGGGGAAAAAACTTGCAGGGGTTGCACAGTGAAGAAATTGGCCACTTCTTATCTTAAAGTGGATCTGGAGACATTTAGTAATGGGAGAAAGTAAAACTGAACATTGCTTAATAAACTGAGTTTATGCCTAATAAACTGGGATTTAGGAGTGACCTTGGTTCAGTGATACATGGATGCTTTTCTTGCAGAAGGCACCTTCACTATAAAGGATTAAGTAGCAGGTGATGGGAAAGGCCTCCGCCTGAACTCTTGGACATTTACAGTCAGTTAGAGTTAGGAATATATGAGAAATTCAGTTTGGTTTTGATCACAGTTTGTCCAGTCCACCCTTTCTGGATTGAATGCAGATCTGGATGTGATCTGATGCTGAAGTCTGCCTGCATCATGATTCCTGGACCACCAAAAATTTGTTTGGCTGCATGTGTACATTTGTCAGCTGCCCAGGGAAAAACCAGTCCTTCCAAAAATGTGCACAGATACCCATTAATGCATCCATTTCAAAGATATGCATAACTGAGGCATACATTCAGAAAAATACATGCATTATAATGAAAAAGGAGATCTAATAAAGCTTGCAATCTTGTGCTGGAATGAGCTGTGAAGTGGAAGGCAGAGAAATTTGGAAAGCTTCAGTTTGCTGATTTGCAGAATACTAGTTTAATTAGGCAGTATAGTGGGGGAAAACACTAGTGTGACTAGGTGTAAGCTAGCTTTCAATGCCCTAGTGCTTATAAATTGAGTTATAGGTGCATAACAAATATACAAGGCAATCTATAATAGATAAAATAAGATCAATGATAAAATATAGCAAGCGTGTGCATGTGTGTACACGTACACACACATTTATATACGATGTTGGTTTCCTTCTATGATTCCAAGTATGAAGGATTTCTCATTAACAGGAATAAATAAAGAAAATGAGAGAAAGTTAAATACGAAAGTTTGGTTCAATGAGAACTAAGTTCAAGAAGCATCTACACCTACTATACCTATACCAGTCAATAAGGCTCAGTGAGTTCAACAAGGCTCATTTCTAAATAATCACGAACAGGGTTGCACTGCTTGCTTGGTTCTTGAACTATGGGAATTCTGTGGGCTAAATCATGGCTGGATCATGCCCAGTGTTCTATTGCTAAAACTCTTAGTTCAAAAATACAGCAATGATTCATTATAGCACTGTTGAAATCATCCAGGCTACTGAAAGAATCTCTAACAAGTCTGATTAATTGTCAAATATCCACAGCAAAGGGGATCTAAATCTGGAACACAGTTCATTCTCTATACTGGAATGAGGGCTGCTTATTACACACCTGAAGAAAGAGTCATAAAAGAGAATGTATGCTTATTAGATCTACCCTAATACTGGATGCTTAGAAATAAATTAATTGTTGAGTTGAAATAAAGCTAGAGAATTGTAGGATGGGGAAAGGAAGGACAGAATGTTTTGGAGTTACTGGGATTTCACAAATGAGATTTGCAATAAAAATGTTGCAGTACAGAATGCCAGCCAGACACGCCCTTTTCTAGGATGCTCCATTACATTTCACCTCATTCCCTCTGCTCCAGCTTTCTGTAGCTGCCAAACACTGTCTGTTTTGCTCTTTTCCTCTTCCAGATATTTTTCCCTAAGGGTTTTTGTATGTCTGCAACCCTTGGGATTCCCTCTACCTTCATGGTGAGATCTTACCTATGAATATAAAAAGGAACCAGGGGTCATTCTCACCCAACAATTCTGTCCACACATGGCCAATCGGTTGCCTGTGAGAAGCCTGCAAGTAGCCCCAGTAACGGCTACAGGAGCACATGCATCAAGTCTCAGCATTGTGACTAGTAGCCACTGATAGCCCTCTTGTCTATGAATCAATCTAATTCCCTTGCAGTGCTGGCCACGTCAGTGCATCCTATGGAAGTGCACGCCACAGCTTAATTCCATGGAGAAGAAGTACCTCATTCTATCTGTCCTGAATTTATCCACTTCATGGGATGCCCCACTGGACACTAATATTATGCGAGAGGGAGAAAAATGTTTCCCATTCCACTTTCTTCTCACACCATGTATAACTTTCTACACCTCTTTACACCTGCAGCTTTCCTTACCATGCCTCTCCTGTATAACTTTCTACACCTCTCTACACCTGCAGCTTTCTACCATGCCTACTCCTTACTCCTTCTTGGGAAACAACCCTTTCCCAAGAAAAACAATCCCAAACATTGTAACCCTTCCCCTCAGGGTGTTATTCAAATTGTTTGTTCATTTTGGTTGTCCTTTCTATGATATCCCTTTCCAGGCCCACCATCCACTAAAAGGTACCCAGTATTCTATGCATAGTTTTTTCTATGGGCAATACAATATGGATACGCTTTTTTCCCATTCCTTTCCTAGTTGTGCCTGACAAGGAATTTATCACAGTAGCCACACACTCATATTCATTGAGCTGACCACCACAACCCTTAGGCTTCTTGCAACTGGATGGGGCTCTTTTGGTCACTTAAGGCTCTGCACCCAAAGAATGAACGCAGTGTTGGTGCACAGATGTTCTTCCGAGTATGCTGTTATTGTAGATCAAAACTATATCTTTTTTTAAAACTTTAAAAAAACTTTAAAACTTTTTTTAAAAAAATATTTCATTCTTCCAATGTAAGTTGATCTTTCTAGTCTGCTGAATGTATTTGTTGTGCCTTCAGCTCTCCACTTTCTCCATATATTTTGGAAACACACTTGCCAGATGCCATGCGTAGCCCTGTATTCTACCTTGAGATGCTTTTTGACAATTAAAATCTATGATCCCCTTCCATTGCTCCTTCTTAAAAATTCCACATGGCTGCTTTTGCGAGGTACAAAAGTAAGCATTCTTTCATTCGACGCCTTCGATGGTCATAATGTCTGTCCTATTTTATTTGCATCCCCCCGCCCCCACTTTCACTCAGC